AGCATATGGCTGTATTTGAAAAATCCAATTTATGTTGTCTTTTAATTGGAACATATTGTCCATTTACAGTTATTGAAATTACTGATGTATTGGATTTGTCATCATATTTTGTGCTTTTGTGTTTTTATTTGTTCCACTTTTTCTGTTGTCTTTTTCCTCCTTTCTTGCAGTTTTAGGAAAACCTACAGTTCTTTCCTCCTCCTGTATGTCTCCTTTACTACTCACACCACTACGACACTCACACAGAACATTTCACTTCTGACACTTCTGGTCACAAAATGTGTGTGGGTTTTATCCCATAACAAGCAATTCTCTGTGACACCAGCTGGGTGTCCAACACTTTAGCTCAATTCTGACACGGTCTACTTGGAGATAGCATCAGATCCCACAGGTTAAGGGCTCAGTCCCACAAGACCACTCCCATCCCACTTCAGATGCCAATCGCAAGTGCAGATTGTCACCTGTGCTTCTGACCGACCAACTATAAATCAGAGGTTCCCCTGACAACCTCCTCAAGTTCAGTGAATTTGCTGGAGAGACTTACAGAACTCAGGAAAACTATTTACTTACTGTTTACCAGTTTTTAATAAAAGGATATTATAAATGATACAGATGAACATTCAGATGGAAGAGATGTGTAGGGCAATGCATATGGGAAGGGGGGAGAGCTTGATGCCCTCTCTGCGCATGCCACCCTCCCAACACCTCCCCGTGTTCACCAACCTGGAAGCTCTTTGAACACTGTACTGCTGTACTAGGATTTTATGGAGGCCTCATCACGTAGGCATGATCAATCATTAACTTCATTTTCACCCCCTCTCCCTTCTCAACAGAATGGGGGGCGGGGCTGAGAATTCCATGCTTCTAATCATGGCTTGGTCTTTCTGGTGACCAGCCTGAATCAGGAGCCATCCGGGAACCCACCCAGAGTCACCTCATTACAACAAAAGACACTCTTGTCACCTAGGAAATTACAAGGGTTTCAGGAGCTCTGTGTCAGGAACTGGGGTCACAGACCAAATATTAGAACAAAAGGTGTTCCTAGTATTCTTATCACTTAGGGAATTCCAAGGGTTTCAGGAGCTCTGTGCCAGGAACCGGGGGCAGAGACCAATATGTATTTTATATTATCTCACAATTGCCTTCTTTTGTTTTTTCACATCCCTCTTCCCCTTAAGTAATTGGATTTTTGTTTTAGTGCTTACACTAGAAAAGGTATCAATGCTTAAATATTTTACTCTCTTCAGCAGTGTAAGACTCATAACACTAACTTCCATCCTTCCCTCCCCTGTATAAGCTACTCTTGTCATATATTTATTATATATATAGGATACTTCAGCTCTATCTTACTTTTCTGTAACCCTACAAGAGATGAATTGTTTAAAACAACAATGTTTAAAATTACTTGCACATTTACCACTCTCTTGCATGTGAGACTTTTTATCTCAAATCACTCTCCTTCTGCCTGAAGTTCATCTATCAGAACAGGGGCTAACCAACTGCTGTTCGAAGGCTGGGTCGGCCTACAGGCTGCCATCTGTTTACTCTATAGGAAGACTGCCAGCCCATTTGTTTATGTGTCCTCTGTGGCCGTTTTCGAGGTAGAGTGGTGGAGCTGAGTAGTTGTGACAGAGGATATATGGCCCTTAAAGCCTGAACTATTTACTGTCTAGTCCTTTGCAGAAAAAGTGTGATGATCTCTGCTTTAGAATTCCCTTCAATGAGGCTTAAGGGGGCAGTCACGGTTTTTGCTTCTCTGAAAATGTGCCTGTTTCTTTCTTATTCTTGATAGTTTGGAGGGTATGCGATTCTAGAATAACAGCTATCCCAACAGCATATTGCAAATACCGCTCCACTCTTGTCTGCCTTCCACAGTTGCCGCTGAGCAGTGCCATTGTTCCTTTGACGAAAAGCTGCCTTTCTCTATGTGGTTGATTTTGAGATTTTCTCCTTGTCTTTGGTGCTCTGCAGTTTCATCCTGATCTAGCTAGGTGCGAATTTCTTTTTATTTCAGTTTCTGTTTATTTTGCTTGGAATTTATTGGGCTTTCTAAATCAGTGGATTGATACCTTTGTCAGTTCTGGAACGTTTTCAGCCTTTCTCTCTTTAGATATTTAGCCTGCTCCATTCTGTCTTCCTCTTCTTCAGAAACTTTGATATTTGTTAAACCTTTTCACTCCCTTCATGTCTGTTAACCTCCCTCTCATATTTTCTCTGGGTCTCTCTGTGCCTTCATATTGACCATTTCTTCAGATCTTTTTACTCTCTTCATTCTGGTCTCATCTGCTGTTAAGCCTGTTTATTGAGTTAATTTAAATTATTATATGCCTTCTGAGTTCTTTGTCAAATCTTCTGAGTTCTTGTTCTTTTTATTTATATTTTCCAAAACTTCTTTTATTTCTTTAAACATATTTATTTTATTTTCTGTGTATGATAATTCCAATATGTGGCATCTTTGCAGATCTGATCCTAATATCTGTTGTTCCTCTTGGTTCTCTGGGCACTTTGTTTTCTTGTGTTTTGTGATTTTTTGGACTGTAAGTTTGTTTTTTTTTTTTAACTATCTGTGGCAATTTCTTGAGGCCCAGGTTGAGACGGTTCTTCCAGAGAGGATTTGCATTTCTACTGTCCTGGGGGTACTACCAGCCTGGATCTCTTTAAACTGTAGTTTTAGGTTACAGAGACCACCCAGCGATCCAGTTTCAGGCTGCCCACCAGGATGAGGGCTGACTAGGGACAGAGTCTCAGAGTGTAAGACCATTTTCTTAGCTCCTGGGGCTGGGGGCCCTAGCAGGAGGTCCCAGCATTCTGTGGGAGGGACCTCCCGATAGGCCCCCACTTGGGCTGATGGTTTTGTCCCCTGGGTTGTGTCCCGGAGGCTTTTCTGATGCTCAGTTCTCTGGTTTTGGCAAGTGCCCTTTAGGCGAAAGCTGACTTTGGAGCTCTGCTTACCTGCCTCCCTGGGTGCCTGCGATCGCCTAGTCGTGTTTACCAGCTCAATGAACGATTTAAAAACATGTTTGGTGGAGTTGAAACAGCATTTTTAGCTTTTTTACAGCAGGACTGCCAGATTTCCTTGTCTACCAGACTACAGGAAATGGATCTCTTGTTTTTATTTCAAAAACTTTTTTCTTCCTGATTATAAAGTTATGTTCATTATAGAAAATTATAGTAGAAAATACACTAAGAATAAATTTAAAAATCGGCCACAGCCTCATTCCTCAGAGATAAAAAGTTAGCAATTTATTATCCTGTAACTTTTCCTATGCATATAATTTTTTAAACAATTAAGATGACTAGAAAGTAAAAGGCTGAGATTATAATTTTATTAAATGGTTAATAAAAAGCTTTTTTCAGATAGCTCTGCTTTAATGTTATGATTTGTGCTCCCTCCCTCCCTCTTTCTTCCTCCTGTTCTTCCTTCCTTTTTTTTTCCTACTGTGGTTTTTGTAAAGATCAAAACTTGTGCCGTTTGTAGTATTTACCTCATCTTTCCTTTTTTTTGTGAAGAAGATCAGCCCTGAGTTAACATCCATGCCAATCCTCCTCTTTTTGCTGAGGAAGACTGGCCCTGAGCTACCATCCCTGCCAATCTTCCTCTACTTTATGTGGGATGCCTCCACAGCATGGCTTGACAAGCGGTGCATCGGTGTGCATCTGGGATCCGAACCGGGGCCGCCAGCAGCGAAGCACACGCACTTAACCGCTACGTCACAGGGCTGGCCCTGTATTTACCTCATCTTTGGTTTTAACTACAATTATTTTCCCACCATGACTTCCACTGCCTTTTAAAAGTTTATTTTACTATTCTCAATTCTTAAAAGTGTGTTAATATCAGATACCAACCCATAAACATCTTTAGAAATAGTATGGTCTAAATTATTAGTAAGTTGCCCTTATAAATAAATAAAGGTAACTGATTAACATTGAGAGTACAGCCCCCTTTATACAGTTCTAATATAAAATATTCTAGGTGTAATTAATATACTAATTAGGACTGAGCAGCTAGCTTGAGTGGATGCTAATTATACCAATATGCTTTTTTTCCCAAACAAAATTAACAGAAAAAAAGTCCAGGTACTGGTATGCAACAAACATAAATAAAAAGTACTGAATCTTAGGTGCACGTGAGGAGAGTATCACCCGCAAACGCAGGATATCAGACGCTGAGTTTAGGTGACTAAGGGACACTCAAAAATAATTTTTGTAAAACCAAGCTTGGTAATCATTGGGCTTTTTTTTTTTTTAATAAGGAGAGTCTTGGGGCCGGCCCCGTGGCTTAGTGGTTAAGTGCGCGCGCTCTGCTACTGGCGGCCCGGGTTCGGATCCTGGGCACGCACTGATGCACCGCTTCTCCGGCCATGCTGAGGCCGCGTCCCACATACAGCAACTAGAAGGATGTGCAACTATGACATACAACTATCTACTGGGGCTTTGGGGAAAAAAAAAAGGAGGAGGATTGGCAATAGATGTTAGCTCAGAGCCGGTCTTCCTCAGCAAAAAGAGGAGGATCAGCATGGATGTTAGCTCAGGGCTGATCTTCCTCACACACACAAAAAAAAAATTAATAAAAAAAAATGAGAGTCTTCTGATCATATTGTTCCCTTTCAAAGCTGCTTCCATGTTTTTAAGTTACAACACAATTTGATTGCTGATAAAATTCTTATATGTCTGAGATGTGTTGTGTCTTGGGTTGGTTAACTTAGACTTATGAGTTACGGAGTCCCAGAAAAGCCACATAATAAATCGGTCTTCCAAAAGATAACGGGCATATTTCAGTTGTAGAAAAAAAAAAGATGTAATTTTGTATTTGAAATGTCATTGGCTAATATATGGTGGATTTTTAAATTAGATTAGCAATAAAACAAAACCTTAATTATCCAAAGTCAGTTTAAATACTGAAACACACATGCACACACACAGACACATTAAAATTACAAGGTTAAAGGCACATAAGAACTGGAATATCAGACCAGAATGTATTAGGATATGGATTATATTTAAATAATTATTTTTCTTTTTCCTTCTGTAGGTGAAGAGGATTTAATAGAATTTACCACAGTTACTTTAGAATCTCCAAAAGCGTTGCTGGCGGAGGCCTGACTGGGAGGTAGATGGGGCATCTTCTTACTTTTCAGAGTCTCCTCGGACCCTTTAGCAACATCAGTACTTGTCTGGTCATCTTTTAAGACACAGCCTGATCCAAAGAGTTCTTCCATTAGACTGCTTTTCTTGTCTCTGAAAGTCATATCTTTTGCTTTTGTTCTGGAAGACTTACCAAAAGAGGGTTCATACCCAGCGGCAGAGTGTTCTAGCCTCAGTTCTTCTGCATTACTGCGATGTTTGCTTGTACCGTGATTGCATCTCATGATGCCAGTGCTGGCTGGCCCACCAGAAGCAGGGAGCCCGTGATGCAGGTTTTCGATCGCTTCTGTGAATGAATAATGCTTTCTTTGTCTGAAGGGTGTTTTGATATTTGGAGCAGCATTTTTATCAGCTATCTCATCCATGTCATTGATTTGTAGACTTCTCTTAAACTTTTCTTTTACTGTATCTTCTTCCTGATTGTCTTCCCTTTCCTGAATTGCTTGAATTCTTTTTGGTGGTAGTTCTTCTTTTTTCATTAAAGTGGTTTTCTTTTCTTGATCTTCTTTTTTCTCTCTTTGTCTTCCAGTATTCTCCAGAGGTGGTTGTACCTCCAAGTGTTCCTCTTCCTTTGGTAAATCTACATTAGAAAAATAGTCAATTTAGTCATCTTTAAAATTCATGGATTTCTATTCCAAGATGGCATGTTTAGCAGACTTATCTACACTTCCTGACAAGCACATGAAGGTGACAAGAAAGGTAAGAAAATAAATGCATACACCACGAGAATACAGGAAAATGTAATATGTTCCTAGAACGTACCAAATACATGAGAATTATGAAATCAAAAGAAAAGTGATATTCATAAAAGAAGAACTAAAATTTGCCAATAAGTTAATAGATGTTCAACATCACTAGCTGGATGTAGTGACAGTTAAACCAATGAGAATATTTTTCACCCATCTAATTGGCAAGTAACTTCCACAGTTGGTGAGAATATGGGGAAATTGGAACTTCTGCTCCCCATTGGTGGGGGTATACATTGGTACAGCTTATTTTGGATAACAATCTAGCAGTATCAAAATTTTAAGTGAACATACTCTTGGACCCAACAACTTCACTTCTAGGATCAAACCCTACAAAGATACACAAAGATAGGACAAGGGTGTTGACTGCAGCATGTTTAGTAACAGTGAAACATCCTAACCGTCTGTCAAGGGAGTTCTGGTTAGATAAACCATAGCGTGTGCAGCCTGTGGAGCTCCTGGCAGGTTTTATAAAGAAGGAGGTGGAGAAACATGAACTGACAGGAAATGACGTTCAAGGTACACTGTTGAATGAAAAGGCCATTTGGAGACGAGCTTTCCTTTCCTGTTCTTATCCAGGCACTCAGGAAGCCCTGCGTTCAGCCTCCGCTCTTCAGAGGAAAGGCCTGTTGTGGGTACAGACATACACAAGGACTGAGGAAACCCGCATGGACTTCCTCCATACTGATCAGCAAGGCCATCGTTTACAGATCTGAAGGGCGAGTCATTTGTGAGGGAGAATGGGGACAATGTTGGATATGCAGAGAGTTGGAAAATTTTCTCACATGTACACATTCTGAAATAAAACTATTCATTTATACTCCGGGAAAATAAAAAAGGAATTCTAGCAAGAGAAAGAAACATGTTTCAAGAATTATTGGTGAGCAAAGGAGCCAGCAAAATGTTTACTTAATTCTAAAAACTGTTAATATTATGCCCTATGATACTTGATGCAAACGTTAAAATTTGATAACATAGGTGAAACTGCTTATCTTCCCCCTCCACTACTCCCAACCCCAATCCAGTCACCTTCGTCTCTTGCCTGGGTTATGGCAGTGGGCTTCTGCCTGGCCTCCCTGCTGCCAGCCTTCCTCACAGCAGCCGGAGGAGGCAGATCTGCTCCCTCCTTTGCTCAAAACCCTTCACGGCTCCCCCTTCCCCTCAGAGAAAAGGCTCAAGTCCTTACCATGGCTACAAAGCCAGGCCACATCTGGGGACCCCCCTCCATCTCCTACTTCAGTCCTCCCCTCGGCGCAGCCCCCTCCAGGCTATGGATTCTGTGGAACATTCTTTGCCTGGAATGCCCTTCTCCAGGTGTCCACGTGGATCCCGTCTTCCCTCCTTGCAAGTCTTTGCTGAGGTGCCATCTGCTCAACCTCATACCACAAACCCCACCTCAGCCCCTCCCCTTCCCCTCTTCTCTGTCCCTCACCCTCTAACACACCATGTACCTTACTTATCTCATGTGGTGTTTGTCTTCCCACACCCGACTAGAGGCACGGGGCGGGGGGCGGGGCAGGGCATTTGTCTTCACTGCTGTGTCCCCAGTGCCCAGAACAGTGCCTGACACATAGTACGTGCTTCAAAGATATTTGTCAAACGGATGGATAAACTTTGTAGGCCAGTGTGAATTACCACAAGGGACTGAGAAATAAGTGGACAACTTGAATAGACCGGTGACCCCAGAAGGAACTGAAAATGCAGTTGTCAGCGAGCTCCCGCCAAACTGCACCAGACACAGCAGCTTTCCAGGGGAGTTCTGCCAAACAGTTGCGTTAGCTCAACTTTCTTCTGATGCAATTTGGCCACACGTCTGAGGGGTGGCCCCTCCAGGGCCTCTACAGAAGGCCTCTCCGCCCTGCTGGAGGGAACGCCTGTGATGTGTATGACTCACGCCTGTGAACTGTGGGAATTGTTCCTCAGTGACTGTTCTTTCCACGGAGGTTGTGCTTGCCCAGCTGTGTGGGGTTTCACCCACATTTTCCTTTAGCAATAATTTAACACGAAAACAATGGGGCGATATCTTCACAATTCTGAAGAATTTTCTTTCTAGCCAATTATTAACCAAGTATAAGGGGAGAAAAATGACATTTCCAGATGAAAGGCATACAAACTTACACACACCCATTCTCAAGAAGCTCATAGAGGTTGTGCTCTTGGGACATGATGGCATTTACCAAGAAAGAGGAAGACATGGTTTAGGAAACGGAAGCCCTGGTAGAGAAGAGGGGACAGGCACCTGCAGGGAGAGGGTGAAGGGAGAGTCTGGCATGATGGCTGCGCCCCACAGCAGAGGGCAACTGGTCAGAGGCAAAGCAGCTTACACACTAAGGGCTGGCGTCACCAAGACCCCTCTCCGCTCCACCTCCCAGGCACCCAATGTCCTTGGCCCATCTGGACCATGGCCTGTTGCCGCCTCTATTGTGCGCTGCAGCCTGGGCTGGCTGAGGACTCTCATTTCACCCACAGACGCGTTCTCTTTGACCTACCCTGAGGGCTGGAGGTGAGCTCTGCAGAGCTTAGAATGGAACTTCCGAGCAGCCCACTCCCTCCATCCTCTCCCCCCCGGACCTGCAGTGTGGCCCTGCCAGGTGCCGTGGCTCCGGTGGCTTCTCCACGCCCAGGACGATGCATGACCCCAACCCTGATGGAGCCCTTGTATATTCAGGGAAGCTGAAGCCAGTCTGTCCAGCTCATCTTTTCTGGATGTTTCCATGTAGTCTTCCTCAGTGGCAGTGCTGCCCTTCACTCGGCTGGAGTTGGGCTTGCTACTCCGTGTTTCAAAACTGAACATATTGTTTAGCGACACACAAGGTCAGAGAGTGGCGAGGAGAAGCAAGGGGCTGACTGGCGTCGAGGGGAGGATGGGGGAGGTCTGCGGGGAGGGCTGTGGTCCTGAAGGGCCTGTGGGGGTTCTAGGGACACTGGTGTTCTGTTTCTTAAGCGGGGCAGTGGCTACGCACATGTTCACTTCATAATCGTGCTTTATGTGGTATGTGTGTGTTTTATATATACTTCTATACACACACAGACTAATTCATAACATAAAAAAAGTCAAGTCAGAGTAAAGGAGACTTGTAAAAGTTGTTCAAGTTACCTTGATATTTTCTCTTGGAATCCCCCTGGTTTGGCAGTTTGCTGGGAGTGTGAGGAACTGCCTGGATGACTGCACTTGATTTCTCTTTGTGACCAATGTTTCCTGTTGTCTTTTTACCCTATAATTTAGAAAAGCAGCAAAAACATGTTTTGGATACAGACAATTTTAAATTGTATTTTATGCAATGAATACAAATACTTTTTTGTATAGAACAAGTGACTGTTTATAGCCATTTTTGTAAAAGTATGTTTAATTAGACACTGCAAGAATTCAAATTTGCTGTACCTTAGTTGTCAAAGATGGACCATCTTCCGATTTTTGGGTTTCCTGGTGTCTCATACTTGAAAATGAAAAACTTTTCCTGTCTGCTTGTACTGATTTTGTTGAAAAAACTACAGAACAGGTACATTATATGTAAGAAACGTATTTTACATGTGGAAGCAATCTTAATTTCAAGTATAACATCACACTGAAGTTTGCAACGTAATAATAAAACAAAGTATACTAGATATTTTCTAAAAATTTTCAATGTGTGTATGACAGTTTCCAGTTTCATTTTTGCCCCTCCCATTTTGCCTGTTTTGGGTATCCCAGTGTTGGAGTATAAAGTGGGCAGGGGTCAGGTCAGTGCTGCTGGAGAACACGCTGTCCCTGCTCGCGGATGGGATTCAAAACTGTAGACAGGCGACTGTGAGAGAGCGAGCCACAGCCATGTCCTGTGTCAGAGCGCTCGACTATCAATGGCTAACATGCATGGCCACTAAATCTAGATGTCACTTTCCTGGAAGTATAATCCCATTTAAATGAGCCCCATGCTTGATTTTATCATCTTCTCTGCCGGCTGTTATTCTGGATTATAAACCAGAAGCAAACAAAGGAAAGCAAGGAAATTTGAGGTTGTTGCCTTTAAAAGTAACCACGAAGTTACTTCTAAAATAGAGGTGAGGCTTCCTATTGTACCTCTTCAGAGCACAATCTTACGCCAGGAGATCTTGGCGGGGGGGCGGGGGGGATGAAATAAGTACATCCTGTCTTGAAGAAGAAATACTACTCAGCAATAAAAAAGTACAAGCCAATGATAGCAGCAGCAACACGGATGAATCTCAACGTGATGCTGAACAAAAGAAGGCGGACACAAAAGGGTACAAATTCCACCGACGTGAAATCCTGCAACAGGCAAACCCAGCTACCGTGGCAGGAGGGAAATCAGTGGCTGCCTCAGGGGGGTTAGGGGACCACTGACAGCAGAGGGGCCTGAGGGAGCTTCCCGAGGAGATGGAAATGCTCCGAGTCCTGACCGGGTGGTGGTCACACGGGTATGAGCATTTGTCAAAACACGCTGAACAGCACACTTAACACGGGTGCGTTTCACTGAGGTAAATTGTGCCTAAATAAAGATGATTTTAAAAATCCACACGCTGGCCAACATTTGGCAGATATCTTGCTTCAAGCTGAGCAGTTATCCTCTCCTTCCACCTGAAGTAAGGACACAAATGACCGAGCAGAAGATGGGGAGACACAAAAGCATCTCTGTTCTTTTCTATCTCTTTCAACCATATCACAGTTTCATGATTCTTCCAGAATCACAAAATGTGTTTCAATGCCTAATAAAACGATTTCTTAAAAATATCCATAATTTTGGTGATATAAATTAGGAAAATCTGACTCGCTTAAAAATAGATTTTGAGCAAAAATAATTGAAACATACCTTTTGGATAATCTTCTTTGTCATGTAAATTTTTAAGTATCCGATTAGTGTAGATGTTTTTAATTTCAAGCTCTCGATCTTTCTCCTAAAGAGAACCACAATACCAATTTTTCTATAAATGTTTGCTTTTATCAACATTCATTTCTCCTAAAAAACAATTTAAGTGAGCTCAGTATTCTTTGAATAAAATCTATAGATTCTAGCAGAAACAGGAACAGGTTTTATCACTATATATCATTCCTGAAATCAAAAAGTACTTTTTAACAGAGTGACAAACTATTGTGATGGGAACAATATTTTTGAAGAGTTTGCAAGCCAGCTTCTTTCACTGTATTTTTTCTGTCCCCTGGGCCTGTGCCATGATGTTTATTGCTCTTTTGCATGGTGTCCAATAGAGTGGCCACTAGCCACACTGAGATTTAAATTAATTAAAATCAAGTTAAAATTTCAGTCCTCAGGCACACTACCATATTTCAAGTGCTCAACAGCTACATGTGACAGGTGACACAGTAAGGGATGGTGCAGACAGAACATTTCCATCACTGCAGAAAGTTCTACTAGACAGGGCTGCATTTAGACAAGCGTAGGTGGGTAGAGCCTAGAACAAAGACATCATTGTTCAGCCTTAAATCTCACTATTGACTTTTTACAGTCTTGGCAAAACAAAAGGTTTGAAATCCTGGCTTGTGGAGATAAAAAAGGTTTTATTAAATACCAAATACTCCTTCTTATACATACATCAAGAGGCAAGCCTGTTAGACTCAAGACCACTGAGTTTTAGTTAAAACCATAGTCAGGAGAGGTAGGCATATATGAGTTAAGGGTGTCTCCCACTGTATGAAGAGAGAGGAAAGCCCAAGAGGAAGGGGCCCTGGGATGGTAGAGAGGAGGGAGGGGGAGAAGGAGAGAGGGAAAAAGGGAGGGAGGGGGAGGGAGAGAGAGAGATCAGATGGGAAAGTCTCAGGCCTTGGCATGGCCCAGGAAATTCAAACCCCTTAAACAAGCCCCCACTCAGTATGGAGCTAGAGTAACATGGTATTGCCCAAGTGGTAAGTTAGAAAGGACTAAACGCAATGTCTAGGCCAAAGGCCAAAGATTGTTCTCTCTTCACCTCCACAACCCAGGGGACCCGTGGAGGGGAGCCATGTGGAGAGCCAGGGAACCCTCTCTGGAGTCCTCAAGGTTACAGATCCAGGTGACCCCATAGCACAGGCTTTGGGATGGACAGTATAGCCAGGGATCAGATGATGGGTGCATCTCAAGGCATTGGCATCAACAGTTGGCAAGGGAAGATCACCAAGATTTGACCTACTGAGAAGAAGCTATGAGTTTCACTAGCCACATTCAATACACACCAGAGAGGTCCCGGGAATTTGACTAGTTGAGACCAGTCACTCCTCAGTGGGACTAGGTCCAGAGGATCCAGAGGACAGCACGTGGGTCAGGGGCCTCTTTCTCCCACCACCAATAGGACGTGTACACTTTCCCTTATGCCTAGATGCTATCTCCACTGAGAGATGGGAGCTGGGGATGGGGAAAAACTCTGCAAGTCTAAGAGGCAAACTAAAATAGGACTGTTTTTAATTAGAAGAGACTGAGACAGGCTTTGGTCCATTTCTCCCTGTCCATCCCTATCCCCACCTCCAATTTGTGGGAATGGGTGTCATAAGGAAGTATGGTTCAGTTATAGAAAATAAAGAACATCTGAATTGTAGAGTGTAGGTTTTGTACTTATTTTAATCATAAAATTAATTTGCTATCAGAGGTATGTAAATGGAAAAAATATGAGAATATTAATCTTTTCTGGAATTTAGGCTTCTAGCAGCAAAAATGTTACAGTATATTTCTCTCTTTATTTCTCGTGATAACACTTCACTTAGCTAGGAAGAACAATAATGGTGACAGTTTATTACCATGAAAAATTGGGCAAGTATATTCTGGTTTAAGAAGAAGGCTATTGTCTAGAACATTTTAGAAAGATTTTTCTCCCACACTGTTTAAGACAAGAAAGATTTTGATGTTTAGAGGGGCAAGTTTTGATTATCTGGAAAGTTCGGTTATACCTTCTGATTTGATCTGGATCCTCAAAGGGTCAGTGTGTACTTCAGCAGTGGCGAGCAGGAGGGAGGCAGATCAAGAACTCCTGCCTGACAAGTGGGGTCAAAAGGAAAGAATGTGAGGGACAGACCTCTGTCAGCCTTGGAACAAAGGTTCAAGTCCGTGTGCTCACCACAGAGGTGGGCCAAAAATTGAAGACGACAGATCCAGAAAACAATCCAGGATACTTATGTGGTTGAGTTCAATCAGAATATCAAGAGAAACAATATGAAAATCCACATCTGGGAATGCTCATGGAATGCTTGTGGAATATTCATAGGAAAGACTACTCTCAAGCTCAAAGTGTTTTAGGTCAGAGTTAACTGGGAAGTTGGGTCACGGTGTGGAAACGTATTAAGGTCAGGATAGATGGCTTCCAAAAATTAGATAGGAAAGAATGTTTGAATAGACACCACCCCTTCGGCAGGGGTAAGCTTTGGCCTGGATGTAAGCTGGAGCTGCAGCACCCCATGTGGGAGCTGTGGAAGGCTGACATCCATCCTTACTTTGGCCCATGCTCTAGAAATGAAGCAGGGCCTGACTTGGTACTAGATGACTTTGAAAATGAGTTTCAAGGTACAGAAATAGAAATTTTGATCTTTGGGACCACACCCTCCCAAGTTCAAGTATTAATGATTTATGTTAATGTGGCAGATTATATTTTTCTAAAATTGCTACAGCAGTATTTCTGGTCCCATATACTCTTCCAGAACCTTCTTACTCCCCGCCAAGAGTGGAGTCTACTGCTCCTCCCCTTGCACGGCCTTGACAAAGGGAGTGAGGTGGAAGTGGTGCTATGTGACTGCTTCTCTATCTCTATCTCTCCACCCTTCTCCTTCGAACCCAGCCGCCATATTGTGAGGAAGCTCACACCACATGGAGAGGCCACGTGTAGGGTGGTTCCGGCCAACACCTCAGCTAAGATCTTAGCTGTCAGATGACACCAACTGCAGACATATGAGTGAGACTTCAGATAATTCCAGTCCCCAGACTTTGAACCACCTTAGTTGATGCCAAGAGCGGCAGAGATGAGCTAGCCCCAGAAAGCCCTGCCCAAATTGTAGATTTGTGAACAAAACTAATGTTGTCGTTTTTTAAGCCACTAAGTTGTGGAGTAATATTTTATGCAGCCATAGCAACTGGAACAGCCAGGATTCTAAAACATCTTTAGAGCTTCTATTCCTCTTCCCTGTGGGTCAGTACTAGGGATGACCAGGAAGCATAAAAGGCAATCTTAGTTTTCCAGAGGAAACAGGCCTGGTGGCAGGTAGGATCCTATTCTAAATGCAGGAAGAAACTATAGGTGAAAGGCCATGCATTTAATGACTGAGTTATGGGAAATGACACAATGGACTGTTTTAAATTATTTTCTATAACACACTCTCTGTGTGTCCACGTATTTTGCGTCTGTCTTCTGGCTCTTTGTTTTTGGGAGATTTCCTCAATATCCCTAGCTTGTCTTTATCTTCTGGCTCTTTCACTGAATTTGTTATGCTGGCAATCATCTTTCAATTTTCACTTACTGTTTTCCGATTTTTTTTCCATTTTCATAACATTCTCATTTTATGGACACAATATCTCCTATCCTGGGATATTAAACTAAACCTATAGGGTCAGCTGTTCTGCTTGTTATTCTTGTACTTTCTTCCTGCTGCTGGTTTTCTCCACAGATCTGGTTGCCTGAACACATTTAAGAATGAGGAGCTGGATTAATTATTTTATTTACCCGCTGTTTTGTGTGGAAATCCATTTCTTTGGTAGGCTTCTTTCTTGAATGGGAAGGCAGGCTGGCTCTGGATAAATCAGTGGGACTTGCTGACTGGCAGGCCTCACTTTGAGGTGGGTCATTTAACTGAGGGCCTCCCAAATTCCAGAATTTACTCTTTAAAGGGCTGTATCCTGGGGTACCAGCATTTACACCAGTTGCCCCATTTCCTCTCAAGCAGTTCATTCACTTTCTCAGGGAGGAACCACTTTTTGCCCTGTGGAAGATGCTGGGCTCTGATGCTGTGTGGGTGGGTGAGTGGGAGGGCAGGAGGTGAGATTGCTGACTCCATCCTCTGTGCTCAAGCCCTCTCTCTCCTGTCCTCCACACCTGCCTGCTCCAGACAGTCGCCTCTCCAAGCACTGCCCGTGGTGGCTTCTGCTCTGTGTCATCCATATAAAGGCTTCCACCACTTTCTGTCTTCAATAAATGTACCCAAATCTCTACTGTTTGCTGGTGACTTGCCCCCAGCTCTCTTTGCTGCTGTGTGTCTATTTCTTCTGATGTCCTTTACTGATAACTTCCATGGGGGTTTTTGAAGGGAGGGAATTTAGACCCAGTGTACCATCACCAAGAATTGAGGCCAGAGTGAACAATGTCTTTCTCAGCCCTAATCAGAATCCCTATTTCTCTGCTGGTGAATGTGGTTTAAGGCACCTACCTTTTACGACTGCAGTAAATCTGCTGATGCCTGGCGCCATCCCAGGAGAGTCTGATTTCAGACATACGGGTGTGACCGGGCAATGGAGTTTTCAAAGCTCCCCAGATGACTGCCGTGCCGCTCAGTTTGAAGACCTTCACTTCAGTCAAACAGGACGATGGCTGCCCCACTCTGCTCCTGCTGGTCACCTATGTTGATGCAGAGCGTGGGGTATCCCTCCCTGCCCCTGGTACCTCTCCATCATCTTTTCTGGGCTGTGATTTAGGTTGTGATTATCTCTGTCTGGTTTCTCTATCAATACAAAAAAACTGCTTTTTATCTTCCAGAAATTCTCTGGCAGTTCTGGTACAATTGTGGTATCCTTTCTGGGTTTATGGGTTATTATTTAAAAAAAATGTTTTCTATCATTTCCATGGGGTTTTGGCAGGAAGGGATGAAAAGCATTTATTTAGCCCATCTTCTTGATCTATTTCAACTCTTTATTTATGCATAAAATATGTAGTTTTTCTTATTTTTCCCTTTGAAAAATTTTATTGTAAAAATATAAAAAATATACAAAAGTAGAGAGAATAGTACAGTGAACCTCCATGAACCAATGAACTGGCTTCACAATGAACAACTCATGCCCGATCTGTTTTCTGCACACACCCACCCTCTCTGATCCCACTCTTCAGCGTGGGTTATTTTGAGGCAAATCCAAGACATCATATGATTTGATCTGTAAATATTTCAGTATGTATCTACAACAGACAACAGCATCCCTTTTAAAACCTAACCAGAATATCAACATTCCACCTACCAAAAAAATCAATAATAACCCCTTAATATCATCAAATATCCAGTTTGTTTCACATTTTTCCAACTGCCTTATAATTTTTTAAAAAAATTTGCTTGAATCAAGATCCAAACAAGGTCCAAAACACTGAGATTGATTACTATGTCTCTTAGTCTTTTTTTGTTTGTTTACAGCTTTATTGATATAATTCATATACCATACAACTCATTCTTTCAAAGTGTACAATCCAGTGGAGTTTTTTCTTTTTTTTATTGTGGTAAAATGCACATAATATAAAATTCACCATTTTAATCATTTTTAAGTGCACAGTTCAGTGGTATTAAATACACTCACATTGTTGTGCAACCATCACCACCATCCATTCCCATAACTCTTCATCTTGTAAAACTAAAACTGTCCCCATTAAATAATAACTCCCCATTCTCTCCTCCCCCCAGCTCCTGGCAACCACCACTATACTCTCTGGCTTTATGATTTGGACTCCTCTAAATACCTCATGTAAGAGGAATCATATAGTATTTGTCCCTTTGGGTCTGGCTTATTTCACTCAGCATAATGTCCTCAAGGTTCATCCATGTTGTAGCATATGTCAGAATTTCCTTCCTTTTTAAGGCTGAATAATATTCCACCGAATATATACACCACATTTTGCTTATCCATTCATCTGTTAATGGACACTTGGGTTGCTTCCACATTTTAGCTGTTGTGATTAATGCTGCTATGAACATGGGTGTACAAATATCTCTTTGAGACCCTGCTTTCAAGTCTTTTGGGTATATACCCAGAAGTGGAATTGCTGGATCATATGCATTTTTAACTTTTTGAGGAACCACCATACTGTTTCCCATAGTGGCTATATCATTTTACATTCCCATCAACAGTGCACCATGGTTCCAATTTCTCCACATCCTTGCTAACACTTGTTTTCTTTCTTTTTTTTTTTTTGATAGTAGCTATCCTAATGGGTGAGGTGTATCTCACTGTGGTTTTGATTTGCATTTCCCTAATGATCAGTAGAGCTTTCATGTGCTTGTTGGCCATTCATATATTTTCTTGGGAGAAATGTCTATTTAAGTCCTTTGCCCATTTTTGAATGGGTTGTTTGTTTTTCAATTGTTGAGTTTTTCCTCATAGCCTCTTTTAATCTGTAAGTTCCCACCATCATCTCTTGCATTTGTTTCACTTTGCAATTTATTTGTTGCAGAAACTGGGTTGGTTGTGCTGTAGAGTTTCCCACAGTCTGATGTTGCTGATTGCATCACTGAGGTGTTGTTTTTCATGTTCCCCTGCCCTCTACATTTCTTTTAAATTGGAGATTAGATCTAAATGTTTTTTTTTTTAAAATTTATTTATTTCCCCCCCAAAGCCCCAGTAGATAGCTGTATGTCATAGTTGCACATCCTTCTAGTTGCTGTATGTGGGACGTGGCCTCAGCATGGCCGGAGAAGCGGTGCGTTGGTGCGTGCCCGGGATCCGAACCCGGGCCGCCAGCAGTGGAGCGTGCGCACTTAACCGCTAAGCCACGGGGCTGGCCCTAGATCTAAATGCTTAATCAGATCTAGGTGGTGGTGTGTCCATCAGTCACGAAGCACATAATGTCTGATGTTTCTCTTCTGTGATGCTGGCAGCCATTGATGATCATTGCTTAGATCCATTAACTCATTAGGAGTTCCAAAACAGTGATAGTCTAATCCTGTCATTTCTTTTTCCTTATTAATTGGAATCCTTTCATAAGGAGGATCTTCCCTCCTTACAAACTATTTGGTTACTCTGAGTATAGGAGAGGTAAAAATAATTGTTTCTTATCCTTTATTTACCAGATTTTGAAATAGGGTGCTGGTTCCCTGGTATCCTCTAGAGGTGACTGAGTAATCACTGAGGTGTTATGTTTTATTTTTAGGTATCATTATGAACTTCTGGACTTCTACATATTTGATAAGTTTCAATCCATGCAGTTGCTTTATTGGTTCTCAAATTGCCCCATCTCTGGCCAGTGAGATCCTCTTCTAGATGGCTCCTGAGCCTCTTTCATATTACCCTGATAGTTCTTTATAGTTTCCTTGCTTTTGTATGACGATATGTCCCAGGCTTGTGTAGTATATTTCATGCTCCAGACCTAGAATTTTTTAAAGGTGCTTTGGTTCTTTTCAGTGGGGTATGGAATTTGAAGACCATAATCTGGGCACTTGGGGTATTCATTGTTACTGAGTTGGTCACATTAGGAAATATGTATTTTTTTTTAAAGATAAAATATATCATAAATTCATACTTTCACTTCAATTCACAATCAGGACTACACAGTTTTTACTTGACCTTATCTTACTTCTGTATTTTCTTTCTTCCATCCCCCAAATCCCAGTTCTCAATGACAACAGCATAATTCATCATGTGCTTTATCCCATAAAATATACACAACAGTCTCAAAATAACCATACCCACACTACCACCAAGAATGGTTTTCACTAGGCATATGCAGTGAAATTAGTGTGTTTTCAGTCGCTGCGAATGGTGTCTCTCTGTGACATTATGCCACTACCAGAATACACAGTGGGTTCATTTTTTTCATTTTACTTTGGATTTTTAGGGAATTTTTTTCAATTTTTTTACATTTCATTCTGCTTCATAATTATGCAAAATGTTTACATGGTTCCAAAGTCAAATCTACCAAAAAGATATTCAATGAAGTCTAGGTTCTATAACTGTCTCTTCTCTACTCTCTCTCCACTTCCATTGATATCCTACTATTGTCTTTCTTTTTTAAATATAAGAAAATATATGGATATGTTTGTACTGCCTCCTTTTCTTAAATGGTAGCATACTACACACTTTCCTCGGCCTTCCTTTTCTGCTTACCAATATATCCTGGAGATTACTCCATGTTACTATAGAAAACACCCTCATTCCTCTTTACAGATGCCCAGAAATCCATTGTGTGGAGGTATATCTACTTCTCTTTTTTAAAATAAACTTGTATCTTACTGTATATAGAATTTTGTATCTTTCTTTTCATTAAGCTTTTCATTAAGTATTAAGCATTTCTCCTGTCAAAACTGTTTCTTAATGACTGCATACTATTTATATGCATATGGCTGCATATGAAAGCACAACATTTATTTTAAAACTCCCCGATTGTGTCTCCGGACTATGTGTGCTGGTCTTGGCCAGTGGATCTTGAAGCCTCTTCTGTTAGATCTCTAAGCTGGTTGCTATGGCCACGCCCATTTCCTGGCAAATTCTTCTCTCTGAAGTTTCCTGAGACTCCAGAGAAGAAACAGAACTCTTTCTCCCGCTTTACAGAGGAAGAATTCACATCCAACTCTCTCCCAGTATCCTGTCCCTGCCTTCAGTGCTCTCATGGCCCCTGGAATTCCCTGCTTGTCATAAAAAGTTAAAGATTCTTGTCTTAAAGAATCAAGCTTACGATTTACGAATTGAGGCTTGAAAGAGCTATATTTCTTAAGCATCTTATATAGCTTTTCCAACTTGTTGGATATTTAGAAATCTTGAAGACAGAAACATAACAAAAGTCTGAAAAAATAAATGTTGTAAACTCTCATTTTTAAAGCACACTCTAAAAGATAGTTTTGCAAGCAGATTTGCAAGTAGACTTTAAAATAAATTATGGACCACTAAAATTACTCTAAATATTTTAATAGGTTAATTTTTAAATTAAAAAACTTATTTTGGGTTCCATTAAAATGTTAACAAAATACAATAATATTATTTCGTGTGATGGAATAAAAATGATAACAAGAAGTCTTGTTAATGAATAGATTAGAGCTTTAATTTTTCTACCGTACTCATTTACCAGGCTGTTAACTCATTCTAATAATTTCAGATCCTCTATCTGTTCATATGGTTGTAGGGAAGAAAGTTAATTTGAGAAACATATTCCTGAAGTTAAATAATTTAAAGACATAATAGGCATAAATAGCTCTGATATTGTGGGAAGCAGAATTTCCCAAATCTTGTTAAATTTTGCTCTAAAAAAAGTACCTTAAGTTTTTGTTGAAGGCGTTTTACTTCCATCTGCAGAGTCTTTGTTGCTGTTTGAGCGGCTAAAGTCTTGCGGTTCTCAATGGCCAACTGCCGATTAAAGGCTTTATTGTTCAACCTTAGCTGTTGTTCCAAGCTCTGAAAACAGCACAGATTTCAACTATTCTGTAATCAATTCAATTGTAATGGAACTAATTACATTTACGAGAAGTGTAAATTTTTAATACGATTTTAGTGGATGGTTTGTATAGGCGACATATATTACAACTAAATATAACCATGGACACACACACAAAAAACCCAAAAATCCCAGATCCCAACACTAGAGAATAAATATGATTTGAACCTAATATTTTTTACACTCTGGAATTTGATAAAAAGAAATTTTGAACAGATCCCGAAAATCAATAAATATAATCAATGTCATAGTTTAAAACTAAACCTACGCAGTTCTGCCAAAATGAAGTATTCTGTTAACTTGGCATAGTGTACTCTTTAAAAATCTTGCAAGCCTCTCTCACTAAAGGGTCGTTCAGCATCAGTGCAGACAGTTGATCTTGGACTGCGATCCTCAGACAGCTGAGGTGGGAAGTTATAATAGGTACTCACAGAGCCACGCCCACAGAGATGGACTATAAGACAATGAAACGACTGATTTGGCACAGTAACCATCTACACACAGGGCTCCTGTTGCATACGCACTTCTTTCTGGGATGGGAACGATTTTATTGAAGTGTTTGATCTGGATTTTGACAGAGGCTTGGCTGAAAGGCCTTTTCTGTCTTATTTTTCATAAAATGTGGTTTCCCTCATTATAACATTAATACTTTCTCATTAAAGAAAAGTGGGAAATATGGTAAACGAAAAGGATGAAATATCAGTAAAAATCCCGCTCCCTAAAATATTAACATTAAAAAAAACACTTTCTTGTTTGGGGCCACAAACATTTGCCCCCCACCGATGCCCTACAAACAAACGAAATTTCCCATACAACCAAGTGCTTCTGTTAGGAAAATAGTTAATCAGTTCTTGAATTCTTTTTGGTTTTGTTTATAGATAGAAAAACATGAACTACTTAAACATGTATATGTAAAAATATGTGAATGAGATAACAATACATTTACTTTTACATGACAGACATATGCTAAGATGGATCCAAGAGTACCTAAAAGGGCAAGTAATAGAACTTTGGAATACTATTGACACGAGTGGAAAGGAGATTATTTTCTGTAGCTCACATATCCCTTTTATGTGAGAAAATTCTCTTTGAAAATAGAGGAGGATTTTACCAAAGAAGAAATAACTGAGATAAAAAAGTGGATGAAATAAACTTGACATTTTCTTATTATTTCAAGATCATAGAAAGTACTTGTTTCTCACCATCATGTATTAAGGAATTAAATGATAAATTCCATTTATGATTATGTCCATAGAGAGCAAAGAGTATCTAATGTAAAACAGGGAGAATTCTCAATACAATCAAGGTATTCTCCTAAACCGTCCCTTCTAATGTGATCCCCAAGCTTCTGACAACCATGCACTGCTCAGGAAAATCAATCCATTCATTTCTTCAATTATTTTAATTCCTTTTCCTTCTCTGTTCCCAGGAGTGTTATCTGGGAAAAATTTCTATTTCTAAAATACCAAAAATATCTAAGTGGTGAAGTCTGGACAATCTGATGAAGGAGAACACAAGAAGAGGGACTGAAGAGATGCACTGTTTAGGGTTTTAGGGAAGCAGCCTTGTAATAAAGTGTTTGAAGTAGAGGTTCCTAAGAGAGGTTTCACACAACACAACGTTGGCAACACAACCTTTTCAGCACGTGAAAACACTCCCCTAACCCTGGACAGTCATTTCCAGATAGATGAGCCTTGCCGCAGCATGCGCCCTTGCTCACTGCGACAACGCAAGGGACATTTACAGCTCTGCGCTGTTTCTGGCTCCCCTCCAGACCTCGCCCTTCCCAGCTCCTGGCCCCGACTGACCACATCATTAGCGGGCCTGCTGAGCAGAGCGGTTGGTAACGCTTCCTTCCTTGGGGGCAAATACGATGCAAATAAGATGAATGGGCACCCTCCCTGTATTAATTCTGGAAACTTAAAATAATTTCTAGGCCTCCGAAATACAGACCTGTATTTTTTTGTCATTTGCCTCCATTTTTGTGGTAAGAATAGACAATCTTTGAGTAAGTTCTTCCCTCTCTGCAAGATTTTTGTCCTCAGAAAGTTTCTGCAGGGCCTGCAAGGCATCTTTAGTCTTCAGGAGCTGGCCGTCGGTGTCTCTGAGTTTCCTAGATACGCTTCTTTCCTGTTCCTGGGATTTCCTAAGCAGCTGCCTTAAGGTTTTTACTTCATTCTGATGTTTAACCATAATTTGAGGCAGATTATTTTGTGAATTCTCATATTTCCCTATAGCTTTCAAGTGCCTAAGCTGAAGTTGTTTCAAAAATTGGTTTTCTGTGACGGTGGCTTCCAGTTCCCGATGTATATCAGCTAACTCATTTCTTAGTTCTTTAATCTTATGAAGCCTCGCTGAGAGTACGCGATGAGTCACAGCATCTCTTCTCTGGGTCAGCATATTGATTTGAGAATTTAAACACGGTGCGTTCCAGCTGTGCTTTTTTTCAGCTGGGATTTCCTTCTTGCCTGTGTAAGCAGATAATCCACTTTGTTATTAGTCACAAATAGACACAGATATAGATATGCAGACATGCAGATATGCACGTATGTATAACCACCCCCTCCCTGCACACATATGCATACACACGCAAAACAGAGGGGGAAAGAACGAACATTTAATGAATATACCGTGCTTTTGGCTTGGTACTTTATACGGAGATCCCTCATTTAATGCAATTCTTGAAGGTCAGCAATAGTCTATTTTATAGCTGGAGATTTTAAGTCATTTGTCCGAGGTTACACAACCACAAAGTGACACAGACAGGATTGAAACCCAGGTCTTCTTTGACTCTAATATCTGTACTTATTTCTATTATAAAAGCTAAACTAAAAATCATGATAATATATAACATTTACTAAGTGCTTACCTTATGTCAGACACTGAATTAAATGCTTTATATAGATGATCTAATGGAATCCTTCTAACAATGTTATGAGGTAATTAGAGTGTAAAATGGAAAGTCCAGCCTTATACAGGAAGATCTCATACATTCAAAAAGACCCTTAAAAAGCCATTAAACTGCTTAGACTGTAAATACAGATATTCCATCTCAATAAATTCAACACAGCCAATTTCTCCTCCGTTACTTTGGCTGGGCACTAAATCAAGTAGTTAGGTGGCTTGCGTTCAGGGGTCTATTTTAAACAAAAAGTATCTAAACAATATTACACGAAGCTTATATAACTGAATTTGAGTATGTCAAATGTGTGTGTACCATCACTGTATTATTATCCCATTTTAAAGATGAACAAACTGATGCTTAGTGATGTCACTGTCAATGGGCACACAGCTAGTAAGTGGTGAGACAGAACCCAGGTCTGCTGTGTGCTACTGCCCCATATGTATGTGCATTTGTATGATATAAATGTATGTATATGTGCGCATCTGTGTATGTAAATATATGTATGTGCATGTGTACATATTAGTATATCCATATTCTGAGAAAGAGAGATTGAATCTGGATTCTAGAATCTAAAGAAGTCTGGTCCACATCCTGGAGAGAGAAGGGAACGTAGTGGCCAGTGTCACTGGAGTCCTAACTTTAAGCTATTGGCCAAGTGTGGATAATCATCTGAGACATGGCTTAATAGGTTTGGTAGAGGTGGTGGGAAAGGCGATTCTGCCTGTGATGGAAACAGTCAGCCAAAAGAAACCGACGATGCTTTCTGGGGGTAAAGCATTTGAATCTTAACTATGACAGACCACATAGATTTGACAATGATCATGGTATCTGTATCACATCAATAATTGATGGACTATCTTTACAACTATGCCCCCAATGGTATTTATTTTCCCACTGGGAACAATTTAGTAGGGGCTATGGTTGAGTATTTGAGTATTTTTGGAATTGGCTTTTGAGCACATTGAAAATTGGAAGGCAGAGCAAGTCAGACTCTGTGACACCTACTAGGAGGCCAGTGAAGGGGTATTTGTGGTTGTGTCAAGGTCAGACACTTTAATACCTTGGACACTGGTTAGGGGAGCCCTAGACCCAGGCAGTGTGGATCACTAAATCCAGAGGTGTGGGTTAAAACAGGGGTAGGTGGGGCCTGTCATGTTCTATGCCATGCCCAGCATGACTGAACTTGACCTCCCACTTGTAATATCTTCCAACTCTTGGGTGGTGTGATCCTGGAGGAGAGAGGGAGTTCCCTGAGACTAGAAGGATGAGGGGTGGTGGGTTACATGGGCAGTGGAGGCTTACATCCCCATCTCATGCTGTGCTCAAGTGATCCGAGGGCAGAGTCAGCACGAGTGGGTGCCTGGGGACTAAACTCCCAGCCATGGGAGCACTGGCCAAGGTCGAGATGTGCACAGAGGGCATGGGTGCTTTGAAAAGAGGAGGTGTCAGCCTTTTAAAGATCATGTGGGCTTGGACCAGGAGCACGTAGTGATGACAATGAAGGGCCAGAGGCCCTTCCCCAATGTTTTTGTCTGTGTAAAGCCCTCCTTTCCCCCTCCCTTCCCCAAACATGCCTGAGATTGAATTTCTTGTCTACCCTAGTGGGGGTGGGAGAGGATGAGCCAGTTTGCTTCAGAAAGGTAAATGTACCACTTGCAGGTGAGTGGTAGAGAACAAATTCATACTATACACATCATGCATTCTTGTATAACTATAACGGTTACAGAAAATTTAAATAGAAAGTGTTTAATCTTTAATGATTTTTATATCTCATTATCCTAACCTACACATAACAAGTATGGTAAAATTTACAATTTCTATCCCATTTACACAATAAGCCAGATTTAGCTGGATGATTAAACTACTCTTAGGATACCTAATTTTTTTTTTTTTTTTAAAGATTTTATTTATTTTATTTTTTCCCCCCACAGCCCCAGTGGATAGTTGTATGTCGTAGCTGCACATCCTTCTAGTTGCTGTATGTGGGACTCGGCCCCAGGATGAACGGAGAAGTGGTGCCTCGATGCGCACCCGGGACCCGAACCCGGGCCACCAGCATCGCAGCGCGCGCACTTAACCACCAAGCCACAGGGCCGGCCCATGCATACCTAATTTTTAAACCACTGAGCTAAAACACTTACTCGAATTAAGTTAATTCACCAAGAACATGTACATTTAAGTCCACAGTTAGCCAAAAAGGCACTCTTCACATTACTTACAGGGAATCATGCTCTTTTGACCAGACCTAAGACTGTCCTCGCACTCACCTATTCCCCAGCTCCAGCCGTCCTCCTCCCCAGGCCCATTTCCCCAGGGTCACCCTCTGGACCCCCAACCCCTGCTTGTTAAAGCACTATTGTCATCCTGTCACACTTCTCTGCCCGTGCCGTTTCCTCTCTGTCCTCCCAGCCTCATCGTAGTCCCCTCTCCTGGTCCTTTTCCTCTTTGGTTTCACTGTCCCTTCCATTCCCGCAGTCTCCCCGCCCTCAGTCTGGTTCTGCTCCTTATCTTCAGCCGCGTTGGCTCTGCCCTCCTCCCCCAAGTTCTCTCTCTCCTCCGAGTGAACACTGTATTTCACCTAAAAAGAGATGGCCCACTTCCTCCAAGGACCAGGTGAGAAGAGGCTGAAAGGAAGGCCTTTCCCCTTTCTGTTCTCTGTGGTTCCTGGTGTTAGTCTGCTGGAGAGGGAGTCCCTTCGGCGCTCCCTGAGGTCTTCTGCCTACACCTGACTACAGACAACAGGGCAAAAGGCGTCCCAAGCAACTGAAGGCAGCAAAATGACTTCTTTCTTGATATACCAATTTTTTGAATGAATCACAGGTTTTGGCATTGTACTGACAAAACACATCAAGGAAGGGTATATAATCAAAAGAGTTCTGAAAGTACATTTTCTACAAAAGAAGGAATAACTAATTTTTGAAAATCAAATTGTAGAAATATATTGCTTGCTATTTAAGTAAATCTCCAATATCCGACCAAAGCAAAAATCCTATCAAATTGAAGTCCTCATTGTATTCTTACAATTTTTCTCTGAAATATTTTTCTGCCATAAAATTTGCTTTTCTAAGAGGGGAACTGAAAATAATCTCTGATGTTATTGTTCTCTAGTGAATTCTGGGTCTGTATTGGTGGTTCACAATCTGGGGTTACCAGGCCCCAAGGTCAGAGATTTACTTTTAATATATCAGGAAGCTGAACAGACACGGAACATTCACTCGAGAAGGGGCTGCATGGGCTAGAACATTAAGCCTCTTTGTTTGGGTTAGAATTATATTACCCCAGAATTAATTAATTAATTAATTAATTACTTGCTGCTTAAATTTCTTTGGCAAACTCTTGCGAAACATGAGCTGTAAGGGAACAAAAGAATGAACCAAGAAAATACTTTATCATTCTGTGACAAAGCTTTGATGTTACAATGAGTGTTTTAAGTTCATCATACCCTGGTGCAAGGATCCTCAGGGACATACAAAATTTGAGTTAATGATGCATCCAAGATTTATTTCAAATAATTTCAGAGTATTTGTACACAAAAGAGTACCACAAAAGAGTTCTCACAAAAACGTGAGAACAAACCTTCACTCTTCAGATAATGGAACTTAGGATTCTAGTCCAGTGCAAAGTGACTGAATTAATTTAGGTTGCTCCTAATTTATGACCAGGTATCTTGCATAAAAGACACAATAAATATTTGTGGAATAAATAAATGAGGAAACAGTTTTAACAAGTTAAATTATAAGGTGCTTAGAACTCAAAATTCAGTTCATTTCTTACAGAAATAGTTTTATAAATCTCATACAGTCCCACAAAAGCCTAGACTCTATATAAAATGTGGTGTATGGATCCATGATCTCTTGTCATAAACCCTTGCGGCCAGACTGTTTCTGAATTTTTAGAGGTTTATTTTTTACGGTGCATATATGGTATTTTCCAGAGTATTCCCAGTAGGGTTTGGGACAGCAGACTTTAATCAAAGAATATTTTTGTAGTGAAACATATGACTATTCACAGTAAGTGAGATAAACAAAGATCAGTCTCATGTCAGTTCAAATCAAGTTTTTGTTGCCAAGTCAGTTTTGGTGCCAAAGATATGAAAAATGTTTGGTTTTCAGAGTTTTGTAAATTTCAAATGCAGCTAAGGGATTGGGTAACTATAAAACCTAACCACGGTGTATGTTCTGTGGTGAAACTCTCTTCCAGATACCATGAACAGACTTCTCTGGACAGAGTCCCACTGTGAGAGAAGGAACTGGACTTTTCATCTCCTGCCCTAGGCCTTGCCAGTGGGTGTACGACTCCCACGTCTCTAGAAAAGGGGCCTGTAGCTTTTTGAGAATCTGGTGAAAGCTATGGGTCCTTCTCCCTAGAAAAGTTCACAAACACAAATAGACACAAAAATGCATAGAACTTCATGCGGTTCATAGACATGGGTCTTACATAAAGAATCCCTGCTCTATAGCTAGGAAGAAGGGGAACTGAAGATTTTAGAGGATCCAGAAGTAGCCCAGGTGGTGCTAGGCACACCTGGTCATAGCAGGCTGGGGATGAGAGATACTGGATAAATGTGACTGTGGATGTGCCCCCCACATAGGAGGCTCTTAACTATTTTCCAGCTGTTGACTGACAGCAGTTCTGATGGTCACAGTGGAAAAGAGTTCCAGCTATTTCTACACAAGGAATATTTATAAGCCCAGGATTGCCTAAAATGGGAGGAAGTAGTCACATTCTGGGCAGGGAGGTGGGGAGTGAGGAGATCAAGATTATCACAAGGCTAATTCCAATTTGGACAGTTACAAGTTGATGGTGTTGGTACTTTTTTCTTTTTTTTGGTGTTGGTACTTTTAAAATCCACAAAGAAATGACCCTACTAATAGCTTTTTGAACCACCTCTGTTTCAAAAGATTGTCTTTGCCACTATGCCTCACCGGACTTGGAGACCATCTTCTTGGGGAGTTGAGACAGGTATTTATATTTCTTTGGCGATTCAAACCTTGATTCTTCAGCTAAGATGAAAGGCAAGATGCCACTGAAATCCAGGTATTGTGGTACTCTGTAACAAGGCCACCTGTTAACTAAAAACGGAACTAACCTCACTTGTAGGCTCCAGCAGTGTAAGCCATGCAAGAGGGCTAGGTTTTACATTTTAAGCCCAACTTTCTGTTATTTTGTAATTATTCTTAATTTCTCTATTTCCTCATATAAATGTTCACTTATAATACACATTTACAATATGAGAAAATAATGAAACAGAACATGGACCACATCAAATACTACTGAATTAACAGCAATGTTGTTATAACCAGAAATTTGGTCTTGGTTGGGAAATTCTGCTTCTTACCTTTAGGTTGGGAGATTTTAGAAACATTATACTTTTTCTTCTCCTCTTTTTCTTTTACCGCAGGCTTCTCTAAATAATTTCTATTGACAGTTGTTTCTGAACATTCAGAGAGAAAGTCTTCTGAATAATCGTAGTGAGAACTTAAACTTCTGCAGGAACACTGAGATCGGCTATAATCAACGCTCTTATCGGAAGCGTTACTGTTCCTTGGACAATCGCCTGTGTCCGGGCAGGTCGTGCACTCTGCGGACCTTCTACGGTTTTCTAATGCCACACTGGGGAAATGCTCATCTATTGTTTCTGTCGGATGGGCCCAAGACATAGTAAACAACCTGACAGAAGAAAAGTATGTTTAGATTTATAGCTATTGACATTAAAATGAATCTATGCTTTGTTATGTTTAACTCTAAATGGATAATTAGGAATGTGAAACAACACTTTACTTTGAAGTATTTTCTGAAAAATTTTGTTTGGTTTTTATATTTTTTCTACATAAATTATAAGACTCCTGAGACCAAACTTTGGTGAGATTATATGCAGAGTACTACGAGATCAAGTTCATATCAGAAAATAATATTGCTAATAATTTATGAATTAGTGAGTTACCTTCTCATTCTGTTATTTTTTATTTTTTGGTGAGGAAGATTCGCCCTGAGCTAACATCTGTGCCAATCTTCCCCCATTTTGTATATGGGACGCCACCACAGCATGGCTTGATGAGCAGTCTCCACACCCGGGATCTGAACCTGCGAATCCCAGGCCACCGAAGCGGAGTGTGTGAACTTAACCACTACACCACTGGGCCAGCCCCTTGTTTTCTTTTTTAAAATTTAATTATTTTATTGAGGTCATATTGGCTTATAACATTGTGTAATTTCAGGTATACCGTTCTCATTCTTTAAGGCTGGCCATTGGGATTTTCTGCCTTGATCAGAACTGAAGAAAATGACAGTATGTGGTAAGTTTGGGTGGCTGGTATGAAATGCAACATTTAGTAAATGAAATTCAGACATATTTGTGGAGATGCACACACTTTTATTTATTAATGATGAAATCACATACTTTTGAGATTAAACATATAGAGTAGAATATAATCAATTAACCTACTAGGTTTCTAGAGCTAATATTTATTCTAAAATTAAGAGTAATAGTGGGTTACAGTGATGTAAACTTGATCCATGATTATAAGGTTCTTTACATTTTAATTTAGGAAATTTGCATTCATTTTTATGCTTTATTTAGACTATTATAACATGAATATGATTTCCTTGATTATATACTACATGACGACAGAAGAGACAATTCAGAAAAACATGATTTACATGGGAAAATCATCCAGGGATTGGAACCTTTTGGAAGAAAATCCACCAAATGGAAATTTTACATTTGTTTAATAAAGAACTGATCATATTTTCAGCTACACAAAAAACAAACTTTTATAAATAATGGATTTGGAAAAATCAAAACTAAGTTTGCCTAATTATTATAAGTTTATACAATGTGAAAAGTTAAAATCTTATTTGGGAACTAAACAAGAGTAAACTAGAGTAGACTTCAAAGAAATGTGTTTTAAAAGCTAAAAATGAGGGGGCTGGCCCGGTGGCATAGCAGTTAAGTTCCCTCGCTCTGCCTCGGCGGCCCGGGTTCGTGGGTTCAGATCCCGGGTGTGCACACTGCTCATCAAGCCACGCTGTGGCAGTGTCTCATATAAAGCAGAGGAAGAGAGGCATGGATGCTAGCCCAGGGCCCATCTTCCTCAGCAAAAAGAGGAGGATTGGCAACAGATGTTAGCTCAGGGCTAATGTTCCTCACACACACACACACACACACAAGCTAAAAATGAAAATGAAATTTGACGGTGTGATCCTAATTTCTAATGAGGGGCATATAATACCACATAGTTGAAAGTCCTTGTAACCAAAGACCATGACTCAAAAACGTACTGAATTAAGACCTCTACAGAGTCACACTTCTTTTATTTAGGGTGGATTTGATTATAATTAAGAACAGTTTTAAAGTAATTTAAACATAGTAGTTCTTCATTTATAGATTTTAGTTTGGTGAATTATTCCCCAAAGCAGCTTCCCAGACTGCTTCAGGGTTCCAGGTAGCTAAAATAACTCCTCAGCTTTGTGCTCCTAGCATCTTGCTTCACATTCAGTGAAAAAAAAAATTATTGCATTTTACTTCCATTTTATTTTTAAATTCTTGGTATAGGGCATAGGCACTAGTATTAAACTTGACTGAACTGAATAATCTGTGTGACAAACAAGGCTAGATGACAGTGTCTCTCCTATTTGTTTCACACAGACTCTCCCACACGTGCCCCATAAGGTCTGCAATGCTACACTCAGCTTCTTGTCTTGATCTGAGGACTCGGGGAGAGAAGACAGCTCAAGCTAAAGGCACACTCCCTAACAATCCAGGAGTTTCATATGAAGAACAATGAGTCCCTCTCCAAGAGAGCTCGGCTACTACAATAGCTTTTTGCTTAGCCCTTATCCTTGATAATTTAGAAACAGTGGATTCCAACGTGCACACACTTTTGATACTTTTGATAAGCCTCTTAGTTGTCTGAAGTGAGAATTTAAAATGGAGAGAACAGGAAATCAAACACAAGGACCCCAAATGTACGCCCTCAATAAAACCTGACTTTCGTTACAAACCTGACGGTTCTGCATTCTTTATAGTGCTACAGCACTGAGGCACAATAGTGCCACCAGGGTCTCTTTTATGTCAGCCCGCCTCAAGAGCAGTTGGAAACAAAGGAATCCATCTCCTGGGGTCTTTAAAAGGGTTATTTTTTCATTTAATACTCTCAATTCTCCGGATTTATCAAAAAAGCCAAAAAAGTTAGCTGGCGTCAGCTCCTTCCCCACAGGAATCTAATATCACTCTCTCTACTGAGAGATTTTTTTTTTTTTTTTAAATCAGTTTCTGCCTCTTCTGCATCTGCTTGACTCTCGAGCTTTCTCCTCTCCTGATGAAATACGTTAGGCAGTTCATAATCTTCCTCCTACAGGAATCTTAGCCCAAATCACCTGACTAGTAATATTAGCATTATACTCAATACTTAACGTGCTTTGACTTTCTACAAACTGCGCTCACATCGTCTGATCCTGGCTGCGAGAAGGGAACAGGCTCAGACAGGTTAAGTGATTGCCCATGTTTTCCAGCTTCAAGGTCAGGACTGTTTTCATTAAGCATTGACTGCAAACTACACCCTGGTGGTAACATTACACAATCCTAAATCAAAGACTTGATCTTTCCAGACACCTTCTACCATGTGACAGTGGGCAGAAGCACAGGTAAACATTTTTAGTTTTGAACTTTTGCACCAGGATTGAGAGACCCAGATATTGGTGTAAGAGACCCTGAAGGACCAAAAATGCTTGGATGTCACCCTCAAAGCCTCATCTGTCCTTGTCCTGGGAACTGTCCCACTCCACGCCTTCTTGCTCATGCCCTTAGCCCGTAAGTTCCTCCCCACCCATCCTGATAAATTCAAATTGCCCAAACATTGGTTGCTAATCTGTAAGAAGAATTTGTTTTTGACCAGTTGTTCCTGACACAAGCTAAACTTGGACTGACCTCTCCTGAGAAAGCCCTATAAGAATTCCCTCCTCCTTCCCCACCTCAGAGCACTCCCTTGAGAAATCTTCTCATTGTAGGATGAAGGCTTACGTCAAGAGTGTTTTTCATGTTACAGTCACAAATTGTTCAACAGCTACCATAGGGGAGTGTGACAGGGTAGAAGGTGACAGACAAACTGAAGGCAGACTGACTTGGGTTTGAACCTGGATCTGTCACTTATTAGATTAGGTGATCTTGGCCATCTATAAAATGTGAATAACGACATGGATTTCATAGGGTTATCATAGGGGAAATGAGACAGTGCTTGTAAAACACCCGTCCCGGTACCTGCCACACAGTCAGCAATCAACACATGCTAGTTTCCCCTCCTGGAAGAGTCATTCTGTGCCAAATCCCAGGACTGCAAGGGCACTGCTAGTGTCTTCAAGTGAGAGATGCAACCAAGAGTCAGTCTATTTCCCCATCAACTGTTTTAGCGAGAACAAATGCTTGTGTAATCCCATTAGCCTGAAAACTCCCTGAAGATAGAGGGTGTGTCTTGTTCCTGTTGTAACTTCAGGCCTAGCATAGTGCTGCCACACAACCACTATTTTTAAATGCTTGAATAATCTCCCCCCCACCACCACCTGCGTATGCCAAGCGCAGAGGTAGGAGCTTACATACCTTAGCTTACTTAATCATGACGACAGTCCTGAGAAATAGGTATCATTAACCTTGTTTTACAGATGATCAGACTAAGGCTCGGAAAGGTTAAGTAACTCGTCCAAGGTCATAAAGCTAGAGAGTGGGAGAACTGAGTTTTGAATCTGGGTCTGCCTGCCTTTAAAGTTCTTTTCACTACACCCTCCTGCTTGACCCAAAATGGACATAATTTGACCCAATTTATTTATGATGCCAACCTTAAAATGTTACGTCCAAACCTGTGATGAGCTGATGGGACTGACTTGCTATTCAGCTTTTCATTGTTTCATCTCTACTCTAGAGTTCAAAATCCTAGATTATGTTGAAAATAATCCCTTATCCCCTAATCTTTCAGATTAATCGACATAAGTCACTCTGAATTTGGCATGACAGGAGCAGTGAAATGATGAAGACGAGGAGGTTAGGGTGGAGGGGTGTTCTCTTTCATCCCTAAATTAGAATATTGAGGTTTGAGGATGCGGTTGTACCGAAGCCACATTTTTTTTTTAAAGATTCCCTCTGAATCACATGCTCACAGAGGCTAAAATGAGCTTTGGTTGTCCACGTTTGATATAGTACAGGACTAGTCATCCTGGTCTCTTAGTTTAATAAACATTGATATAGCATGGAAAAAAATTCTAATGGAAATCTATTGGAGCCACATAAGACAATGTCTTTATATAAATAACCTCACTCTTAAAACAATTCTAGCAGACTAAAATGTACCCTAATGGAAGGCTTTATAGATTTAACTGTAAGAAAGAAGGCGGATTTGAAGTCATTTTTGCCCTCCCCATGCGGATCTGCAAGAGACACAAGCCTCTGTTGATGGCTGAACTGTCCCACTGTGTACTGTCTCCTGTGGGTCTCTATTTTGCAAGGTCTCTATAGCTAGGAGGCAGTGACTGTAGCTCCTTTAAAATGCTTGAAAAATCACATATAATTAAAAATGTCCCAGTGAGAAGACACCTTATTAGCAAAATTGTCCATATTCTTTCCTGCTCAATAATTCACCCTACCTAATACAACAGGTAGAGTTTTCTTAGG